ACTTTAAAAGGAGAATGAGTAGGAGTGGCTTATCATGACTGTCAGGAAGCCAAAGCAGGTCACAAAAATCTTTTAATATCACTGTGGTTCATCTGCTTAAAGTGTATCTCTAATTTGGGCATGATTTGTAATCCGGGCTTTCTCCTTCCACAGTTCTTTAATGCACCGTTTATGTATTTTTCTATAAATATTGTAAATTTCATCCATGTCAATCAGATTTGGTTTTTTGTGATAGTCATGTAAGTAGCAGAGGAATGTTTCGGTCAATATAAATGAGATTATAAAGCCTAAATGCAAATGTTTTATTGCTGGCTAGCTAAATGCAATTCTTATAGATCAGATTGGTTGCCCTAACCTTGACTGAAACATGGCTCATAGCTATTACTTTTTTTGAAAATCTGGTGTATGTGCAAAAACGCTTCAGAAGAAAATTATTTCTGAAGTGCCACAGGGTGCTAGAGCTCACTGAAAATTAAGGAAAAAGGGACTTTGGCTGCAAAGTCCTGTATATAACTTATCTTCTGCCACTCTGTTTCAGTAAGCAAAGTCAAAGATGTTATAAATTTCTGTCTCCGGATTCTTTTCTGATAATGGCCTTTTTTAAGGGAGATATTATGATCCTTTTTCTTTTTCTCGAACCAAAGAATTTGGTCCTTCAGTTTGGTAGGTTTCCTGGCCATTGACTGAGGAGTGGCACAGTACTAGTTCACGGAGTTATGTTTCTTTCTTGAGCGTATTCTGTAACTGCTCTCAAGCACGGAGGCACTTTTACATACTATAATCTACCCTCATGCTCTACTGAAATGTCAGTCATTCAAGTTCTTACTCTCTTGTCAGCCTAAATTAAGAGATTGTACAGTATCATTAGACTTTCCATTGAGGAAGTTATATATCTTGTCCCATAAATCAACATTTCAGAACTCTGTCAAAGGGATGAGTTTTTGTTTCTCTTTGTTTTGTCTGAACGCTGAAGATACTTGAGCAAAAGCACTTCTGTCTAATTTCAGTCCAGCTTAGCTTCACCAGACAAAGTAGTGATTTCTCTTCCACCCATTCCCTTGGGAGGTGAAGTCATGGAGCACTGAATTTATAACCACTCCTGTGACAGCTTGTGATTGAAAATAGACTTCTAGAAAGTTAGCTTTTCTAACTTTTGGAGTACTGCTCTTTTTCAGTTCTCACTTTTCACTTCATAAATATGTATTTATCATGAAAGATTGTGTCTCTTTAGGGTTTTTAATATTAATTTTGCTCATTAAAGTCATTGCAGTGGGCTGTTGTCTATCTGATGGGGTAAGAAAGTTACTAGTTTAAAACTGCCCTTGCTGAAGCAATTAGGACCTTTGCCATGGATTTCAGTGAGGTGAGAATGGTGTTCTTTTACCATCTACATCCAACTCTTGTGGGAAGTATGGTGTAACATTTTAAAAAGTGTCAACTCTTTAGAAATGGGCCGTGCTAATCGGACATACCAGCAGATTTCTCTGGGCCTCCCTGAGTGCTTTTTGAAGTCCACTTATGTGAGGATGGTACCAGAGGAAGATGTGTGGTCTTCATATGGGGGTGGCTTTCTGGGGTGTTTTTTACCTTTCAAGGGGAAGGATGGAAGCAAATATTTGACTTTCTGACTTTCGCAAGACAGAATCACTGGAAAGAAGATATGATACTGTGCTAGAAGAGTTGCGGTAAGAGTGTTATGAAGTCTGAGGGGTCCTGGCTATGAGTAGAGGGTAGTAGGGCCAGGGGGATATAAGGAGACGTGGTGCTGAGCAGGAATAAAAGGGGTTTGAGGTCTGGTAGGAAGCACGCCCTTGATGAGACACTGCAAATTGAATACAAGGGAAGGAAGAGGTAGGGACTTAAATGTCTGCCCCTGACCTACAGACCTCTTGTTGCCAGCTAAATGGGAACAGCAGCAGTGAGGCACCCTTTACTGCTTCACTCCCAGGTTCTGAAGATTAGGTTTCCAACTCTGTCGTTGTTGCCCTGCAAGTATGGTAGGCCTGCCAAAGGGAGGTGACTGCTCTTTGGGGTTCTTCTGCCAGGCTGAATTTATCAACTCTTCCTCCCCTCAACACCAGTCTTATCTTTCTCTGTGCCCCCAGAGCTTCCACTTCCAGGCTCCTCCTCCTTACTGCTTCTAAAATTTTCCAGGTAGTTACCCTTGTCTATCTGGAAACCTCCATTGGGCACTATTTTCTGTTTATTTCTAAAGGAAAAAAAAAAGGCATTTCTGAAGAATACTGTTGGTTATGCATTTTCTACTTCTTTCCTCTAAAGAGCTCCTTGGGTCTAAAATCTTAGCTATGTTTAGCTCAAGTTTTTTGGTCTTGTTTCCTTTGGGGGTTTTTCTGGTGTAAACTTCTAAGTAGTCTTTTAAGTGGAATAAAAGGAATACACTGGTCGCATGGTTTAGCTGCTGAAGTGATACAGAAAATGAAACCACTGAACTGGTGAGAAAAGCAATTGGATCCATGGCTAATAAATTGAAGTAATAAAATTGCTTTTGACAAGAACCTTTTCCAGATGAAAAAAGAATCTCTGTCTTGTTCCAGTTTATTATAATTATACCAGTAAGCTAACTAGTTAATTTAAAGGGAATTTAAAAGGATTGAGATAGGAATTTTTAAAAGTAGGAAAGATATTGCTTTCCTTCTCCAGAGTTAGGCATAAGATGCTGAGATCAGAAAATTCAAAGGGTTGAAAACCATGGCAATCAGAAGAAAGCAGTTCAGGTCATTAACTTTAAACATTTTTTCCTTGGTTTTTATTATATTATTTTGTGTAAAGGATAAAACAATTTTTTAAAATGCTGGTTTTCTTAATTATTGACTATTACATCAAACAGCTCTTCTGTAGATTTCATACTAGATTATTCTTTTATTATCAAATTTATTATTTAAATAATAGAATGCAAAACATTTTAGGAATCTGCAATATACTTCCATTAAGACCTAAATAAAGTTTACATAGATAATGATGCTGATTAACAAAAAGAAATACAAAATTTGACACAGTTATATTTATTTCCAAACCAAGGTATCTTAATATTCGTAATGGAGTATCAACTTTCTTTAGGAGTCCAACTAAAGATGTGTACTCTTTCATTATCTGTCCACATTGGTATATTTATCTTTAAAAGCAAAAGAAATTAAAGAATTCATTTATTCTAATTTACTAACCTCAGTCACAGTTAAAAGAATTAATTAATAGCACTTTTATTTAAAAAAGAAAAGAAAATTTGCCCTGAAAGCATTTAAACTGTGTAATAAGATGAATCTGGGCACCAAAAGTAAAAAACTCTGTAAAATTTTCTTTATTTTCTAACTACTGCTGTGACAGTTTGTGACTGAAAATAGACTTCTAGAAAGTTAGCTTTTCTAACTTTTGGAGTACTGCTCTTCTTTAGCTTTTTAGTTTAGTTCATTTTAAATTTTATAAAAAAATCCATGCAAGGCTTAGCTTCATGATTTGAGAGTGAGCATATGGAGGACATCAAAAAGGAGTTGTTGTCACTCCCAGTTGATCTTCAGCTATAGTGTGGTCTGTTACCGAGTTAAATTATCATTACAATTAGCACCCAGTAACCCCAAGCATTGTGCTGAATATCACTCCAGTGAATTAATGTTTTAATTTCAGAATTCTTAAAGTATTCCTAATATTCTTTCAGTATTTTCCCCTAAATTGCATCTGATACAGATTAAATAATAGGCATTTCATGTTTAGAGTAATTTAACCTCATAGGAGAAAATTGAAAATAAACTGCCTGCTGAACTTCAAGACTAAATACTAAAATCTGTTTTATAAAGATTAGCTAAATTTGAAGTGTTGTTAGGGGATATTTACCAATATCTGTTTCATAAGTCCTTATGGTTTGTAATTTTTTTTTTTTTAGAAAAGAATCAAGAATAAATGAATGACATAAGTGACCAAAAAGATTAGTATATTGTTGCATGACATGAATAACAAATGCTTCCTGCTGTGACTTCAGATAGCTGAAGAAAGGATACAGTTAATGTAGTTTATATAAATTAAATATGTTAGCTGAAGGATTAGATTTTTTAAAATTAATTTTAAAGTGTTCATTACTGTTCCAAATATAAAGGCTTTTACTTTTTAATCTTTGGAACATTTTTCCCTGGTGTTTTTTTGTAGGTATGTATGACTGACTTTCATAAGCCCCCATGTAAGTATTTCTCCTTTTCAGGTGTGTGTGTGGTTGTTGGTATCTAGTTAATTTCCGAGTTGCAGTGTTTTAGTATGGAATAGGATGTTTCTGAACAGTCTGCTTCTGAGTCTGTAATCTATTGTGGACAATATTTCTCTTAAATTTTCAGAGAAATCCAATATTTCAAAAGGCAATAGTTGTTTGGGCTTTTTTTGCTACTGATGATAGCTTTATGTCTTTTAGTCATTTAATAATGGTTATTTTTTATGGATTAACTGCCTTAATAATAGAAATGAATTATATCCAGAAAAATTGGGGCTTTTTGCATGGTAGCAGATGCATATGTGTAGATACGGACATCAGATATAATAGATGAAAGCATTCGTTCAGCTATTTATAGGGTCAACTCATGGAAGAAAAAAACATATCCTGCTTTTAATGACAAATAAAAAAGTGAAGACGGTACATATAATACATGCATACTTCCCCAAATAATTTGTTGCATCTTAGTTTCCTCAAAATTACTTAAACACAGTAATAGTTTACATTGAACGTTTTTCCTCCCAAAAGATGTAATTAACTCAAATATCACTCAACTAGAGGTTTTATCTACAGTTTTGATTAAAAAAATAGGATTTAAAGGATGTAGGGTTAAATGTGGTAAATAATGATTACATTTAACTGTAATTTCTCTTATAGAGCAGATGGATTTAAGGATGACAGTATTCCTCATCATAGCACTTCTGGGTTTGCTATTTTATTGCTTTCCTTTCATTTTTAGTCTTACCCTAACTTAGTTGTCTCATTGTTTCTTACGATCCTTTTGATTCAGGATGCAGAATAGAAAACTGCGACTCCTGCTTTAGCAGAGACTTTTGTACCAAATGCAAAACGGGCTTTTACTCGCACAGAGGCCGCTGCTTCCGAGGATGCCCCCCTGGATTTGCCGCCTTGGAAGAGCTTATGGAATGTGTGGGTGAGTCTTCTAGCACAGCAATGCTGCTGAAGCAGCTCTTTTACAAGGTGGCAGGGTTCAAATATGGCGCTATTTTTAAGCTGATGCTTAGCATTTCCTATCAAGAAATATTCACTAACGAATTGTGTCTGGATTTCTTTAATAATAATAATAATAATAGTAATAACAGTTTTTTCCAAACTTTGAAATATTGCATTATTGGGAATGCCACTCTGTTCTGCATCAGAAGGTTCTGTCCTCTTAACTGTAAATCACCTTGTATGAGGATTTATAACTCAGAATTTGTAAGATTTCAGGAAGGCCAGTTTTTTGCATTAGAACTTTAAGTCAGTGATGTACTTGTCAGATTCTTGCCCTCGTAAAACTACCTGCTCATTTTAACCCAGAGGCAGGACAGACTGAATTCCTGTAACATCTGGGCTTCAAATTCACTTTTAGTTTCCCTGTTGCTCCCTACTTTTCCATTAGCAAGTAACAAATATAAACCACCAAGTAAGTGTTTTTCGTAGAAATTTACTTTATACCTCTGAGCCAGCGTTGGCTGTTCTCACAATATTTGTCGAGTCTCACAGTTTGGTGTTTTATCTTGAAGCCTGGGAACTGTGTTAGAACAGACTTTCTTTCAAGAGTATTCCTTGCATTTCCTGGTGGATAGGACCTGGAAATGTGAACTCTTGAGCTTTGCAAATCCAGGTGACAACCAAATAGAATTTATTTATTAAAAAGAGAACAATTTAAATCAATCTTATGATTTTAGGAGGGTTTTTGAATATTTGGGACTGACAGGATGTCTATACATACAGATTGATAGTCTGATGGTTTTATGCTCAGGTTGAAGTTGGCTAAAAGGATTCTTTCAGGTGCTGTAAGAGATTTTAATTTTGTTTCTAAGTTTTTGCCTGTTAACAGTAAAACTTTCAAGTGGTGCTTTCTAATAGTGTATTCTAATTTTAAAAAAAATGAAAACAAAGAAAAGCAAAACCCAGAAGAATTGCTTACTCATGTTTTCTTTTGCTTTATCAGAAGGCTGTGAAGTGGGTCAGTGGAGTGAGTGGGGAACTTGCAGCAGAAATAACAAAACCTGTGGATTTAAGTGGGGCCTGGAAACGAGGACAAGACAAATTGTGAAGAAGCCAGCAAAAGACACAATACCATGCCCAACCATTGCAGAATCCAGACGCTGTAAAATGGCCATGAGGCATTGTCCAGGAGGTAAGCGTAGTCCATGCCACAAGAATCTTTATGAGCTTTCCTTAACTGAAATCCTATTTCTAACTTGAAAAAAGAGCTATTTCATCTTAGCTGAAGGGGAAATCCTGTCTCTGCTCTGCCAGCCACGGCTGAAAAGCATTTTTGGTCCTAATTTGTGCAGCAAGACTCCAGGGAGAGGCTCAGCGTGGGAGTGATCAGTCTCTCAGTAGACTGTGAAACTGTGTTTTTCCTGGCGTGATGCTGAGGCTTTTTCAAAGAGGTGCCTCGTGAAAGAACCGTAACAGGTTGCAGTTTGAGCTTCAGCATGAAAATGATAGTGATGGTGGAATAACTAATTGCTCTGCGCATGGCAGGAAAGATTACGATTCTAAACCTTGCTGCAGGTGGCACACCCAGTGCTGGTGTGATGGGTGTTTAAATTAAATGAAGTTGGTTACACATGGCATTGTTAGCTGGAACTATTAGCTGGAGTGTGTTACTTGTTCTGAATATTGCAGATCAAGGCCAGACTATGATAGATGTGATACAAGCAGAAGAGTGATAGATATCAAGCTTTTCAGCATGAGACCAGCTTATGGCAATTACCACAAGTAGATAAAATAAATGATGAAATTTCTTTATCATAGTGTTCCAAGACTTAAGTAGTGATGCTGATTTGAAAAAGCAAATGGAGTTTCAAATTTGTGTTCAGTTTTGTAGACCACGAAGTGGAGACATGTCACTGGTAGAGAAGAGATTTTGTTATCTTTTAAATTGAAGTGATTAATCTTTCACTTGTGCAGACTAAACACTTACTGAGTTTTCAGAATTTGTAGGAGAGGTGCGTGATCAACAAGTGATAAAGATGCCACTCCTTCTGAAATCATAGGATTAAAGAAAGATTGAGGCTTTAAGGGACTTCAGGAGTTCTCTCGTCCAACCTTCTACTGCAAGCTGGGTCAATCGTGAGATCAGGCAAATAAAAAAGGAATAAAGGGTTGCAGAGTCCTGAGAAAAGCCATAACCTGATGAATAAGCTAAAACTGAAATAATCTTAGAATAGGTACATAAATAAGTTTGCTTTGTGTTCTGGGATTGTTGAATATGACTCTCTTGGCTTGAACATACTGCCCAGCAATATGTGTGCAAATTATACGTGAAGTTTTAGTTTACAGATTAAATCTGTGCAAGCTTCATTTTTGTCTCTAGCACCCTGACACAATCTGGAAGAGAATATAAAGTTGATTCTCTGTTATCCAGGTTAACTGAAGCTGTTATGCACTCTTCCTCCCTGTCCTACTCCCTATACTCATACACATGTGCATGCACACACAGCGCATAGTCATAGTGGAACTGGGGTGCATTGTACAGGACAGCTAATCTGCAACCTAAATAAACTTCTCAAAGACATTGAGGAGTGGAACCTACAAAATGAACATCTCTATAGGAAGGAAGAAGAAAAGGTAAAAATCAAGGCTGATTTGGGCTGCCATGGTGTATGTCTCATGGTATCTTTGAATGCGAGTCAGCTGCATCTACCTCAGGGTAGCTAGACTTACTAGTGCTTGCAGCCTGCTGGTGGGTGAGCTGTTCCAGTTACTTCTAGCAAACTCTGAAGCCCACATGAGGTTAGTGATCAGATCAACTGGGGAAATGTTTTACTGCTAAAATGGAAGGAAGAAAAAAGAGCTTGTGTGAAGTCCTACAAAATCTCCAATCAATATTTTCTTTTTTTGCTGTTGAGATGCATGAAGTTTAGCTTGTAGTAGAAAATTTGAAAAAACTGCAGAATATTTTCAATTCAACTCCATGTGGTAGAGATTTAGTCATTTACGTACCCAATGTGCATAGATAGGGAGGTATGTCATGGATGAAATGTCCAGCTTCTATATAAACTCCTGGCAAGTAGAAATTTACAGGTGTGGGTTTAGTCTGGATAATTTAGTTAGGATACAAATTATTCAAATTGTTGTAAAGAGTTTGGGAAGTGTGCTTAAGTGGACCACAATATTTATGAAAGCTGTAGGATGCTTATGTAACTGTGGTAATCTGGAGCTATTGAACGTTCATACCTTTTTGTAGCAGATTGTCTTAGGTTGTTTCAAATTTTCTAGTCCAGCAATTCAGGTCACTGATTAAAGAATTACCTTGCAAATTTTATCTTTTCAAAGGCACAGTGATGGGCTTTCCTAAGAGTTAGGAAGTTTATTGCCTACTTTACATCAAGGTCTTTGATAAATCTCTGCATTTTTTTCACTACGTATCAGGAAAGTTCTTGCTGCAAATACAAATTCAGTGTGAAAGGCTTGTACTCTTTCATAACCATGGGCTCCAGTAAATCCTAAAGATGCCAATCCTTTCCTGTCCTCCCATGGTGTGGAATTCCCTGCCTGTGTTTTCAGAGACAAAAATAAATATGTACAAAACTGCAGGTTTGAACTCTTCACACTAAATGCTGAGGCTTAATACTGTTTCTGTGCCATCATATAAAACACCAGCCAGCGTATAAACTCCTTTTTCTCTCCTAAGAAACTCCTGGGAGGGAGTGTGTTAGTGGTGTTTAAGTGCCTCGGGTAGGCCTTCCCCAGGCCTGGTTATCTCTACAGGCAAGGAAGCCACTGAGATTGTCCTGTTCGAAACTCCTGCTTCGTAGTTTGTTTTAATTATGATTATATAAACGGCTGGTCTAAGATCCCATATCTTTTATCATATTTAATTTAGTTAGCAGGTTGCCCCATTAGACACTCATAATGTTCTGTTGCTTATTTATTCACTGTGAAGTAGTGGGAGGCAGAGACTCTGGTTACGGGGAAGCTCAAATCAAGCAGGTCCTGGCTGCGAAGGAAGAGAGTCTGTGTTTTTAAAAATATGGTGTTTTCCTATTAGAAATTTTGTAATTCAACTTTTAAACTGAGGAAATAAGAGAAAAATTTAAGGTTAGCACTAGGGGGGGACTGAAGAACCGTAATCACTGTAAATGTCAGTTGAGAGGCTGTTAATAAATCCTTTCTTCTTAATGTTCTCAGTACATAAACTCACACAAATGTGTAGGATAAGTATTGGATTATATAGCTAAGATTGTTGTAGATTGTGATGGATTAAACTGAGCAGAGGAAGTAAGGATATTTTTGGTAGAACAGGGTCAAATATAGTGCTTTTGACACACGCTTTCTACTTCTGCACATTTTACAGTTACTATTTATGGTCCACACTACAGAAAAGCTTCCAAAACAGATTTTTACATGTTTGCACAAGTGGAGTTAGATTCAGTTTTCCTACCAAGTACTTCAGTTTCATATTTATCAGGGGTTGAGATGTTACCCATCTGGCCATATGGCTGTAGTACAAATCTAGTTGATGAAGAATTCTTCATTTTCCCAGTATTTGCAGAGTTGTAGAGATACAAGCTGGAATGCAAGTGAAAGATGATTTCACTTCTTTCCAGCTGAAGCCAGTAACATGAGAGGATACTCTACTTGATTTCAAATATGTTACTCAGTGATATTTTCTTATTGTCAGTACTACTTGATTGAACTGTTATTACCAGATAGGAATGTCACATTTGTGTATCTGTTCACGTTATGTATGTTACCCTGTGGCTCGGGTGTAACATGACTTATACAGTGAGATGTTAGACTTAGAAAAAGATGACTTGGATCATTCAGGACACCTTCTACCCATGTTGGTCTTTTCCTGATAAGGAATTTTCTCCTTTTTAGCTCAAAAAGAAAAAAAAGGAATTTTTAAAAAGAGTGATTGCATTACAACCAATGGAGAAATTAGCAGGCAGAAATGTTCCATGGACTGATAAATCTTGCTGTCTTGAAGTTTTCCCATATATTTATAATAAATATTCTCTTTTTACCTCTTATTTTTATATGTTCCCCGTGTTCATCTCAGTAATTACTCCTCTTTTGTTTGTAGCCTTGAGGAATTTGAAGATTGCTGTCATGTTTCACATTAAGTATTACACAGGCAAGGAAAGCAGCTCTCTGCTTCTTTTAGTCTTCCATCACACTGTGTTCTTTAAGCTGTCTGATACATGAATATTACTCTATGCCAAAGTCTATTATTTCTAGTACAAATCACAATGCCATTTATGAATGCTCATTTCAGACATGAAGAAAGAGAAATGAAGATGGGACATATGTCTGCATTAATGTCCTGAGCTCAAAAGGGGGAAGGCAGTAGGACAGGTCATGAGGCTACAGTGGGAGGGAGTTCTTGCCTTGACATGGGCAAGTGTGCTTGGATGGACTTCATGCTGGTTGATTGGATTTGAGGGGCTTTTTATGCAGTAAGCTTTCTTCTCTCTATTGCTGCAATAGAATTTCAGACTTCTGGAAGAGCAACAGTAGAATGACCCAATCAGACTTTCTGTTGTTATACTGCAGTTACATTTCATTATTAATACTCAGAAATTATGATTGAAAAGACTAAAAAATAAAAGAATATATACTTAAATACAGAAAGCTAATAAATATGCAAGGCTGCAAAATGCATGTTAACTAAGTAGTGTGATTTTTTTTTTTTTTTTTTTTTTTTTTTTTTTTAGTCTGATAAGCTACTAGGGATATGGCAAACAGGGAGTTAATGATCCTGCTTTGCAAAAAAATATTTAAGGTAGGATAGACAATATTTAGAGTAAAACTGTACATAAACTTTGGTGAAGACACTACCTATACACTTAGAGTATACTAAACTTAATTACTTACTAAGCATAATTTCTGATAGAAGCCACATTACAGGTATAGATATCTCCAGTAGGTAAGTATTTTTCCCTTCTTTAAAATGACATATTTTGTCTCAGAGTGAATGTTTTAAAATTTCTGGCTTTAACTTGACAACCTCCAGTAAAAAGGGTCAAAAATGTTCTTATGTCATCCCCCCACTCCTCCCAGAAGTTTTCTTTTATTTTCTTTTGAAACCTGTCAAAGGAAATCTGGATTTCTCTCTAAATATAAACAAAGATTTATTCAGAAGAGGCTGAGGAATTTTTTGATTGCACAAAACCCAAAATC